AGTATCGGTGTCCGTAGTAATAGCGGTGCTATAGTCTATAATAATAGTAGTAGCCTCTCACGTAGTAATAGCGGTAGTGTTAGAGTTACGAGGTTCTAAATCTATAGCCTAGGTATTAGGCTATAGATTTAGAACCGCGTCTATAATAATAGTAGTGGCCTCTTTTATAGTAATAGCGACGGCCTCGCCTTTATCCGTACTAATAGCGGTAGCGTCGCCTTTACCAGTAGTAATAGCGGTAGCGTTAGAGTCTTCCGACTCGAGATCTAATACGTCTACGGCTATACCCCTTAATAGTAGCCTATTCGCGGTCTTATTAGATTAGGTGATACGGATAGATTATAGGCGTTCCCTAATTTCCTTAGCGGAAGCTATAGCTTATAGCGTTTTAATCCTACCGTTAAATATCTTATCTTCGTTAAAGACTATATCTTTTATAGTAATAATATCCGTTAAGTGTGGTAGCTAAATACGGAAGCTATTCGAGGATTAGTATCCGATATAATAACCGATCTATACCTTCGGTTCTAGCTTTTATAGGCGGTTCCTTTTAGCTTAGGTATCCCGTGTTTTTATAAAGGCTTTATAGCCGTAAGCTTATAGGTGCATAAGGTTAGGTTAACGGCCGCGTAGGCCTTTGTATAGCGTTCGCTAGTTATTAATATATCGTGGCGTCCTATTATATAGATATATAGTAGTCTTAAAGATCTTAGGGTAGATAGATATAGGCAGATTAGCTTTAATTCTTATAGCCCTCGCCTTTCTCTTAACGATACCTTTAATCTATTCCATAACGCCGTTTTAATCCTATAAGTATAGTGCCGACGGCTAGCCTTCTACCCCCTTAGTAGCGAGGAAAGTAACGACTTCTAGGTGCTAAAGTATCTTAGAATCGGCCCGTAGGATATATAGCTTAGCGTCGAATTAGGTCTTAAGCAGGGTAAAAATATCCTTTAGCGCGTATAAGATAAAGCCTTAGTCTCTCTTCTATAGGTAGTAATTCCACGTATAACCTATATATATATCTATAACAACTATAATAGGCTTATATAGGCCGCCTACTAACGACTCCGCCTTTTGTAGATTATAGAAATGAATAGCTAGGGCCTCTCCGGGCCTTAACGGGTAAGGGGATAGTATTCGCCGGATCTATATAGGTATTTACGATTACCTATACGCGTTATAGTCCGTTATACGAGGTCCCTTTATCTTTACCCCCTAAATAACGTCGACAATCTTTATAAGAGTATTAGTGCCGTAGGGGCCGAGGCGTTTATACCACCGTTATACTGTAGTCTTCTACGGTTACTGCGGTTATCGTGATCTTCTATACGGGTTATCGCGGGGGTGCCTTACCGAGACCGCGAACGCGGTAGCGGCCGTGGCTTCCGCGCGCTTGATTATATACTAGCCATAGATATCTAGTAGCTTATAGATAGGCCGGTTATCGGCAGAGCTAATAATAGTATCGTTTACGGTATCCTAGCGGTAACCTTATAGGCGTAGCTAGTATTCCGAGACGGTATCAGTAACGAATTCCTTATAGTATACGATAGTATAGAGGCGTAATAGCCTCTTTATACCTAATAGGGATTACATACGTAGCTTAACGTCTCTGTATCCGAGGATAAAAGCCTTATAAATACCTACTTAAAAGGATAAAGATAAAGTATCCGTGGGTAGTCTAATAGCCGTAAAACGGCCTTAATTATTAAAGATATAGATTAATAATCCTAAATCTAGGATCGCGTAGTATAATAGCGCTCTAGCTTAGTTAATAGAAAGGGATACCCCTTATTCTTATTATAATCTTAATAGTATTGTCGTACGATAATAGCGTACCACCCCCTAGGTTAAGTAGGCGCCTGGTCCCCCTGTCGCGGTGACGGATAAGTCTTTATAAACTATTATAGTAGGCGTAGTATTATAGAGTTAATCTTCCTAGACTTCGTCTATCTTATTAGCGTTAATAGTCTCTAAGGCTTCCCGCCTCTTCTATATCGCGGTGTCTACGCTGCTCTTAAAACTATAGTTACGTATCTTCTTTTCTATAACTTTCGTAATATCTTCGCGGCTATACTAGGTATAAGGGCGTATATCCAGCCTTATACACTAAGAGGCGGCGGTAGTATAAGTATTTTTATATATCTTATAAGGCCTCCTTATTACGGGAGGGATAGCCTTTACGGACGTATTACTATAAGGACGCTTCTTATTATCTTTATTATTAGTAGTATGCTTAGTATCGGGGAGGTTCTTAAGGGTATTAAAGGTGCCTCTCCTAACTCTAGGCTTTATAGCGGTGGATTATAGGCTCTTTATATTACTAAGAACCGCCTGTAGAGCCTTTACGAAGTCGTTAATCGTTAGCTTATTTTCCGTAATCGTATCGTATTTATTTACTAGGTAGTTATTACTTTATTCCTAGGTAATAGGTCTAATAGCTTTTAACGCGTCTTCTACCTACCGGACCGCGCTTAATAGCTCTAAAACACCTATATATTTATAGTGTATTATCCCTATTTTCTAGCTTACTACCTAGGTGTTTATATCCTTAGGTATAGCCTTTATAGGCGTAGTGTATTATCGGTATAGGACTAGGGCTTCCTGATAGAGGTCTATAGGTGTTAGTCCTACGTGCGCGTGCAGGAGAATAATATAGGCCTATAGGGTATTTACGGTATTATCCTATAGCTAGGCTAGAAGGCTACGTAATATAGTATAAACCGTCCTTTCGATATAGGAGTATACGTTATTAAACTCCTTCTACTACGTATCGTAGTCTACCTTTTCCTCGCGGTATATATAGCGATCTTATAAGTAACGCGTACGCCCCTTTTTAAAGAGGTCGTTAATAGACATAGGCGTCCTAGTCGGTGGCTTTTTATTATAGCTATGGTTTTCCGGCGGGTAGCCGTTTTCTTTTTGCCTATAGCTGTGGCCGCCGTGGTAACGGCTATAATAGCCGTGGTAGTAGCGGTGTCCGTAGCGTCCTTATCGCCCTTTAGCGTGATAGTGGAAGACGGAGTAGCCGTAACGGTAATGGCCGTGGCCTCCTCCGCGTTAGGGTCCACGGTAAGGGCTTCATATTTATAAATATTAGGCGGCGTAGGTATAGAGAGGAGGTAGGCTTTAGCCTCCTTATCGCTTAGCTTTAGATTAAGATAGTTATCCTAGTAGGAGGCACATTTACCACGTATAGCGCGCTCCTATACTATCTAATCCCTCTTGTTAATAAGGGTAATAGCGGTCGCCTTCTATTTAGCGTTATATATATTAAAAGATATCTTTACTAGTTTATCGTTTATCGGTTAGTTAATTAATAGGTAGGTTCATTAATCTCTTAGTTACTCTAATTAGGTCGATAGTAGTTACTTAAGAGTGCTTATCTAGATATAATTACTTTTTATAGTAGAATAGGGGTAGCCTTATTAATATCTATCGTTTAGGCGTTATAAGCCGGGCTTATAACTATCGCACGTAAAATAGCACTTAGATAATTAATTTAGTAGAGCAGAAATCTTATATATATATATTATATTAAGTTATATCTAGGAGAGTCTCTTATACCCTTAATTTAGGTAGTAAAGACTCTATTATAGGTACTAAGTTATTTAGATCCTATCCGGTCTTTTCCAGTATCCGCCCCTGTTATATCCGGATACCCGAGGTCCCCGATATCCAAAGCCCTTAGTCATAGCGTGGATCCCCCCTAGATCCCCTATAGACCACGTTCTAGTCCGTGTGCGTATGCGATAGAGTGGAATATTAGATAGGAATAGGGACTATTATTTAGAATCGGGGGATTCACTTTTTAGCTTACGACTGTAGGCAACTAAGGAATATATTATTTCGAGACTTTAGTTAAGCTTTTCCGGGCTTATAACCTTTTAAAGATTATGGATAAACGGAAGGGACGAAAGTTATAAAAAGCAGTGGAAGAATAGATAGTAATAATAGGATTATAATAGTAGGGTTTCTGCGCGCGTGTGGATTATCTAAAAGCGATAAAGAAGAAGAATAAAGGAGGGAAGAACCGAACCGAGGGAACGGGTTAATATCCTTTATTCTTTCCTTCTTTCTAAAGGATCGAGATCGTAATAATAACGTAATCCTTTATCTAGGCTTACGGGGAAGATATCCTTTATTCGAGTATAAAGGTACTCGAAGGATATACTTACAAGATATTATTAGTAATATTAACAGTTACTATTAGTGTTATCGGCGACTTCTACTACCTATTATTATAACTAACTCTACGTAGATAGCTTTATTCGGCGTTGTTATTATTATTATTATTATTATTATTAAGCTATAGCAAAAACTCTAGCTATAGAAAAAATTAACTACTATAGCTTAAACGAAGGTAGGTGCGGATAGGCGAGAAATATAAGATTCAGTAGTAAATACAAGGGTACTTTATATGAGGTTACTTTCCTAAAGTAGCTACGATTATCGTATACTATAATAGCACCTATATAATTAACTTAATAGAGTAGAAATCTCGTGTATATATATTATATTAAGTTATATCTGTATAAGTCTCTTATACCCTTAATTTAGGTGGTGAAGACTCTATTATAGGTACTATATTATTTGCATCCTATCCGGTCTTTTCTGGTATCCGCCCTTATTATATCCTGATACCCGAGGTCCCCGAGATCCGAAGCCCTTAGTCACGCATAGATCCCCTAGGGACCACGTCGTGGTCCGTGTGCCTATACGATAACGATTATACCTTTTCCTGTACCTCGATATCGAAATATAGGTCCGATAGAACGGCCCCACTTTTGGGTGCCTCTCCAGCCAGATATAGTGCCTCTCTCGACGGTCCCACAAGTATTCCGTTCCTAGGCAGGTCACGTGACCGGCCCCACACACCTCGATACGGTGGCTGTGGGCATCTGACAGGTGCTCTGGGTCCTCGGTCTTTGCACCCCCAATCTTACTTTTGAGCCATAACAATCTGTTCTTGAATGCCATTGTCCTTGGGTCACACGATGGCACTCGAGGGAGACGATATCAGACAAAGCAGCACCAAGCCCGCTGATCCCAGCGAAAACGGCTCTGCTGAGGATTCTTCGAAAACACTCCCCAAGGGCGTTGTCATCGGCAAAGACGGGAAGCCGTGAGTATACGACGCTGAATATCTTTTCTTTCTGCTTGTCTGGCAGTGACGCTTTGGGGCAGAACCGTTGACCGTTACGCCCGGCTCGAATAGCTGCCGCAGCTGCACATCCTTTGCCCAATGGGCCGCGCAGGCCAAGTCGTCGCTGAAAGCCAAGACCGATAGTCCCATCACAGCGACCCAGAAAACCACCACAGTTAGCGATGTAGGCACTCTACCGGCCGATTGCCCTCCCGATGTCGAGCGTCTTGGAAACAGCACGTGGACACTGCTTCACACTATCGCGGCAACGTACCCGGAAAAGCCAACGGGGATGCAAAAGGACGACCTACGAGGCTTCATGGCTACGTTCAGCAGACTCTACCCTTGTTGGGTATGTGCGGAGGATTTTCAGGACTATATGAAAAAGGATAAACTGAAGGTTGAGGGTAGGAAAGAGTTTGGAAACTGGCTCTGCGAGGCACATAACGAGGTAAATCGGAAGCTAGGGAAGAAGGAATTCGATTGCTCCAAGTGGGAGGAGAGATGGAGGACTGGGTGGAAAGACGGGCGTTGTGATTAGAAGCGCAGGAAGAACGTATACGTACCAGGCAGGAACTGGAACTGGTAATGGCTCGACGGGGTATGAGGCGCCATGAGAACGGGGCGATTGTATTATATGGCAAGCAGGGGCGTCTCAGGTGAAATTTCGGTGTTGGGCGGGACAGCGGAAACCATCTCCTGTTGGATTAGAATATTGAACTCGCTTAGGTAACTGACCATTCTCCATTCCTCACAACTCACGGAGGAGGTACGGAGGAGGTACGGAGGAGGCCAATTTTCAGCAGCCTCGTGCCTGGCATATGTCCGTTACTAATACATACTCGCCCGAGAATATACGCCCAAGTTCTATGCGCTGACTTTGGAGTTCCGGATATGAGCGCGACCCGCACTACCTGGTCCAACAATGCGGTTGGACAGAATGGTCTCAGTTTATCATCAGGCTGTACCTGGTGGGTGATACACAAGGAGTTCGCTGCATATTCGTTCATGATATGATCCGTGGAATGCATTTTGACTGACCTATAGAGGAGACTACTAATACCAGCTACCTGGTAGGATTCAAGTCCGGCTTGCGACCAATGTTCGGGGTATCGAATAAATGTGCGTATCACAGAACACACTGTGGTCTAGAGCGGCGGGGAACTGTGGAATCCCGTGGTGTGAGTTCCATTACGTCACCATGACTACTATACAGCTTGCACATCTCAAGCTGACTTTCTATGGCCGCGAGCTTACACAAGGCGATGCTCGCCCTAATATGGGCCCAGTGTGTACCGTAGGACTGTTCTCTTATCTATCGCCGCGTCTGGTCGAAGGTGTATAATCGTACGACCAGCCCTTCCGTACATTTCTGTCTGCACATGGGCACCAACGGGAGGCTACTTTTCGAAGAGTTTTAGTCGGAAAACTCTACCTCCTGTATAAGAAGCGCCTGTCTTCTCCCCGTTCAGGACCCTTCGTAGGTATCATCCTAGTTTTGTAGTACACGTCCAGTCATTATCCCCCAACGTCGACACCTTGAATCAGACAGACAATGTCCGGACTCGGGAAAGATTTGCTTCAGGAGCCGGTAGATGTTGGTGAATATCTGTTCCGGCGGCTGTACGAGGTGGGCGTGCGCTCAGTTCATGGGTTGCCCGGAGACTACAATCTCGTGGCCCTCGACTATATCCAAAGCACTGGGTTGAAATGGGTGGGAAGCGTAAATGAGCTGAATGCTGGTAAGTACTTAAACCCACAAGCTGATAGACCGTGGTCGAAGGCCTCGGGACATGGACCCTAGACTAATAACCGCTTGCAAGGCTATGCTGCCGATGGCTACGCCCGTGTCAAGGGCATCTCGGCCCTCATCACGACATTTGGTGTCGGGGAGCTATCTGCCATCAACGCGATTGCTGGGGCTTTCTCCGAGCATGTTCCCATAATCCACATTGTCGGTTGTCCGTCCACGGTGTCTCAGCAGAACGGCATGCTGCTGCATCACACACTCGGCAATGGGGACTTCAACGTCTTTGCGAACATGAATTCCGAGGTCTCCTGCGACATTGCAAAGCTCAACACTCCGGCCGAGATCGCAAGTCAGATCGACCACGCGATTCGAAAATGCTGGGTTCGTAGCCGGCCAGTCTACATCATGCTTCCAACCGATGTGGTGCGAAAGAAGATTGAAGGCGCCAGGCTCAAAAAGCCCATTGACCTGGAGGAGAACCCAAACGACCAAGCGAGAGAGGACTATGTCGTAGACGTGGTGCTGAAATACCTCTACGCGGCTAAACGTCCCGTGATGTTGGTTGATGCCTGCGCAATTCGTCATAGGGTTTTGGACGAGACCCACGCACTGTTGGAGAAGGCGAACATGCCCGTCTTCGTCACACCCATGGGGAAGGGCGCCATCGACGAGACGCATTCGAACTATGGGGGTGTTTATGCAGGTGAAGGCTCGAATCCAGAAGCCAAAGTCAGAGTGGAATCCTCCGATCTTATTTTGTCCATCGGAGCGCTGAAGGCACGTTTGCCACACCACATGAAACATTATCCGGAACAGATGACGCTGACAGACTCTGGCTTCTTTTTTTCTTATAGAGCGATTTCAACACGGCGGGCTTTTCATATCGCACCTCGCAGCTCAACACCATCGACTTCCACAGCACTCATACCATTGTTCGTTACTCGGAATACCCTGGCGTGAAAATGAAAGGTGTGCTCCGCAAGGTCACTGAGAAGCTTGACCCCGGCAAACTTGCCATGGTCCCGTCGCCGGTGGTAGAAAATATCGTCCCCTCGCGTCAGGAAGATCCATCCCCTACCATAACCCAGGCTTGGCTCTGGCCTAGGTTCGGTCAATTCCTCCGCTACAACGACATCGTCGTCACCGATACGGGTACCGCCAATTTTGGAATCTGGGAAACCAGGTTCCCCCCCGGCGTCACCGCGCTGAGCCAAGTTCTCTGGGGTAGCATTGGCTGGTCTGTCGGAGCTTGCCAGGGAGCAGCACTGGCGGCCAAGGATGTCGGGCAGGACAGGAGAACCATCTTGTTCGTGGGGGACGGCTCTCTCCAGCTGACTGTGCAGGAAATATCGACCATGATACGCCACAAGCTGCATGTGACGATGTCAGTCTAGTGCTCCTTCCGTCTATCTTTCTACCTCTGAAGTCAGTGACTGACCTGTGATTTCTAGCTTCGTCCTTTGCAACGAGGGGTTCACCATTGAGCGCTTCATTCACGGTATGGATGCCGAGTACAACGACATTGTCGAATGGAAGTACAAGGATATCCCGGCCGTTTTTGGCGCACCGGAAGGAGAAACGAGGGCTTACCGAGTTCATATCAAGGATGAGCTGGAGAGGCTGTTGACAGATAAGGAGTTCGGTGATTTCAAGGGTCTGCAGCTGGTCGAGCTGCACGTAGGGAAGCATGACGCGCCGAGGTCTTTGGTCCTGACGGCACAGCAGAGTGCAAGAACAAATATCAAGAACGACTAAGATGCGTGGCAAGGTCAGTAAAGAAGCCCGTGTTGAACCGGGTCTGGAACTCGACATCCACGAGGACGTCGCTTCCAGATAGTCTTAACAAGGTTATCTCGCAACGCTATGCTATGCAATGATACTATATCTGACCACGACGGGAAAACCATGGCAGTATCTGGACAGATCCAGCATTTTGAAAGTTGATCAGGCACGTGCCATTACCCATCGTAAGCAGTTCATCTGTATGTTGATGCGAATTATTTTGCTTTGTTGGATGTTTTCAAGTGATAAGACTCGGGATGCATTGAACATCGTTTCCAGTGAGCCAACATTCATTTTCCAGGTTTAATCACCGGTTATTTGGGCTTTTGGCTTCCGACTTTCAACTACCCAGCTCAAAAGGATGGAGGACGGGCTGACTGTCCAGTTGTCGTGTCAGTAGTGGGTTGGGCATCCCAATTTCATGAGCTCATGTGTTGACTAACGTCTCCATAGGGTAGGACAACGTACCTATAATCGGACGGGTCTCTGATGGCTTTTATCGAAGCCTCTGGATGTTGACTTGAAAACGGCACACAGCTTACTAAGGTACCTACCGTCGAACAGGGATTGGAGGATACGCAATACCTACATGAGTAAGGTACTTTCTGAGTACGAAGTAATAAATTACCTTAGGTACTCCGTAATACTCTGTCATAAGGTACCTGGAGTTTATAATAAGGTATCTTAGATACCTTTAGCCCTCACTCTCTGGGTTGCACTTACTGTAACGACAATCCAGTTTGACCACTCCACAGTATATAATTTTCGAGCCGGGTGCTCGATAAATTAAATCCTTGCATCAAACGGCCATCACAGCCATTCTCTTAACCCAGTCGCATTGTGTCGTCCCGACATCGTTCATATAGCTAGTTTTGCGAATGTGAAATTTATGCAATGGATGATCCCAAGCGCAAACAAACACACGATAGTGGGGCCAGGCCTCTGAAGAGGAGCAAGGTGAGAGCTACGGTGTCTTTAAGTCATTAGCCAAGCCACTTTTTCTCGAGCTCCGAATCTTGGGCTGACAATCATCATAAAGGGAGGAAATTTGGGCGCTTGGCAGACGCCGGCCCACAAGTCCAAATTAGCCATGCTCACTGACCGGGATGCCGTCCTCCAGGTAGGAGATCAGGGCATCTGGGTGACCTTCGCTCGTGGCATGGACAGGAAGGCTATCAGCGAGCTGATGAGTCTATGTGACCAGGTACCCAAGCATTCCAGCATCCAGCTCACGTAGCCGACTTGGTTCTCATATGCTTATCAATTGGGTACCCATAGCTCGGTGAAAAGCTGTATAATATTGCGCCCCCACGAGAACATTGCCAGTCGCAGGACGAGGAGGACATCGAAGCCTCGATTGAGAAAGAGCTCGAGGGGTTCAAGGCGGGCGGGCCTAAAAGGAGCAATGGACTCTTCAAAGCAATTCGTGCGGACATAGACTGCGTTTTCTTCATGAAAACTCGAGAGCCGGTGGATCCGGTGAGCTTTTGCCGCAAGATATGCGAAGACGCCAAGTGTTGCTCCAACTTGCGAGAACGCAAAACGCGATATATTAATCGCCTGACTCCCGTGAGCATCCTAGATAAGGCGTCCGAAAATGGCGTGGAGAGAGTAGCTAGGAAAGCTCTGGCCCCGTGGTTCGATCTGCAAGAGGAAACCGAGAGTGATAGAGCGATATCAAGCAACCCTGGAGACGAAGAGAGGCCGGCATATTCGGTAAATCCCCCGTTACTTTCTCTCGAATGACAGGACTTGAGAAAAGAGACTGTTGGGAGATGAGTGCTAACACGAGGGCCGATTATAGTATGCCATCCGGCACTCCATTCGCAGCAACACGGAGTTGAAGCACGGCGAGCTTATCCAACGCATTGCCTCTCTCATCGGATCCCGTCATAGGGTCAGTTTAGAGAACCCTGACAAGGTTATCCTTGTCGATGTTTTTAAAGTGAGTGCCACCCTATTGCAGTTTTTTTTTTATTTCATTATTCGCCCTTTCCCCCAACCACTCCTCGTCTCTTCTCCCCCAAGCAGAAACCAGGAAAGAAGAAAAAGATGGAAACGTGAAGAGAAAGGAAGACGAGATGATGAGAGTCAGTGTGTGGTCCAGTCTAACAAATCCCGTGCCAGAATTTCTGTGGCATGAGCGTGGTCGACGGGAGTGAATGGGTTCAGTTGAGGAAATTCAACGTAAACGAGCTTTACAAGGTAGGCTCCTCAGGGGCATCTCGGGACACAGACCAAAAAAACATAGGCGGCGAGGTGCCGGGCCCGGAAGTTCAGCTCCAAGAAGGGTAAGGGCGAGAGTAGAGGTGAGATCAAGACGTCTCCATTACCGCGGCATGTTGAAACGGGAACGGTTGTTACATATGTGATCTTGTATTTTTCTTTCTAACACTATTTGTCGCATACAAGCGGAAACTCGGGCTGCACTCGACTTCAAATGATATTCGACGGAGCGTAGGGAGTTCGTATAGGTACTCGTTGAGAGTTAACAAGTCCAGGGTGACTGTCTGTCAGAAGTCCACCCAATACATGCTCCGTCCGGATGACTACCTAAGGTACCCCCCTCACTCTGCGTGTCGAGCAGAATATTAGCCAGCACTCCGTCAAAGGTAGGCATCGCGGATGTTTACAACAAATATCCCGACAGCTACCTTCCTAGGTAGGTAGCGAGCATGCATCTTCGGATCTCATGGCTGCATCCCACGTAGAGTGGTGGGATGGACCTGACGCTAAGCCCTATTGCGATAAGTTTGACGAGGACGGGGTTAAATACGCCATAGACTATCACTTCTCAAGTCTTTTCCAACATGCTTCTATGCGAGGAAACTATATGCCAGCGGCTCGAAGGCGATTGGAAAGCAACGTACGCATTCCAAGGCGTCTCAGGGTTGCTATCTGGCAGGTGAGTTGACCGACGAGTTCATGGCATGAAACGGCCTGGGGTGGTAATTACCTACAAACCTTAGGTACCCAAGGTAGATAGACAATCCGTACGTACATGTAACAGATGCAAAAGTACTTCGTGCGATTTGATGACCTACCTGTAAATATAAGGACGGAGTAATCATAAATGTCCGTACGGAAGACGGACAGTATAAGAGGTAAGCCATAATATCTAAGGTAATTAACACCATGAAAGGGCATTCCCCGGCCTCGCTTATGGCCTGCCAATCATAAATTTTCCGAGTCGCTTCCTTGGTGCAGGTACAGTGCGCCCTGTACACTTCACTTGCATCCTTCAAGCTTTGTAACCTCATACGGCAAATCACAGGAGGCACTGTAACAACTTAAGAAAAACCAAAAAAACATTAGTAGACACACACCATAAACATTAAAATGCCCACCCCCCCTCTAGGACGTACCCCTATTTCGGATACCACTTTACACTAAAACACTGCTTTTTAGACCCCTGCTATTATATAAAATAAAAAAGTAAATATTATAAAATTATAAAATTAAAACCTTATATAGATTAAAGGTCAAGTACTAATATTCTGTTTATAGTTTTAATATAGGCTTAGTAGAAGAGCTATAATATAGCTTAGAAGTTATAGATTTAATTTTATTAGTATTACTATATATTGTATACGAAATTCTAAGTAAGAGTAATATATTACTTATAAATTAATAGATATAGGTAAAGGTATAAAGTAAGTACTATAAATAACTTCAAACTCTATACTATGTATATCTATTACTTATCTAATACTATATATACTAGTTTATATAATATAACTAAAGGTAAAATACCCCCCTACTAAATCTTTATATAGGCTTATATTATCAAGGAATAAGCTATAATACCAGGGAAAAGATACACCGTAACGGATAATACTATTCGGACTTAACAGTCATATATTATCAAGACTTTAACTTAAGCAGGAAAAGGGGACTTTTCCCCCTTTACGCTAACGTGGTAATGTAGTCTCGCTAAGTACTCGGCGATCCGAGCGTATCCCCGATTATACATAGTGCTAATCCACTATACTACTTAGTTCCTTATATTATCCCCTCTCTAACGGGGCTAGTCCCTTAGGCCTATTCTATTCCCCCTACCGGGCAAAACGTGCATGTGACTCTAGCCTTATACGAACTCTGCTATCCGGTCGGCGCTTATAATTAGTCGGCACCGGTAAGGCTACGTACCTCCTTCTAAATATCACGACTTCCTTCCACGTATCGTTAAGTAATCGGTAAACCGTCGGCGGTAATTATATAGCCGACTCGCTTACTAAATACTATTCCCTTTTCTAGCGTTCCGCGTAATAGCCGGCGATTACTCGCCGCGTTTTATAATATCCCGCTTATCGTTATACCTTCCTGTATTATCGTGGTGTATAGTGTTACTAGATTTATTCTTACTATTCTTTATACTTACTCCCTCTCCGGCCGGATTCGTAATTAAGGCGACTATTCGCCTCGTAGATAAAAGTTCTTATAGCTCCCTCGTAGTTATTCTTCTCTTCTTCCTTTTCCTTACATAATCCTTATTCTTTATATTACGTTTTGGTTTACTATATATTTATATTTATATCTAAATCTATATTATAGCCGAATAATCGCTATTATATCCTTTTTAATTCCTAACGTCGACTAATCACTAATATATCTCTTCTACTCGGTATTACCCGAGAGTTACGTCGTATACCCTATAATACCGATAATAGGTAGCTAGGGAGCTTTTCTAACGATCCGCCTTATAGTCGTTATATAGCTTCCCTGGCTAGCGATATTTATATAGATTATATTAACCACTCTAACTCTAACGTATATAGGTACGTCGTTTATCTTTATTCGTATTAGGCGTGTATATCTATAAGTTTCTCCTTACCTTCGCCGAATATTCGGCTTCTAAAGCGTTTTTAGATTTCTAACGGCCTTTTAGGAGCTACCTAGACTATTTGGAATATTACTACTAGCGTCCTCTAGAAGGAGGCTAACGAAGAGCTAACGCCGATTAGTCGGCGCCGCTTTTATCTACGGCTTTAGGCCGTATATAAATAGTTCCGTAAAGCTTTAGATAAAGCTACTCGCCCTCCCGCCGCCGCTAACACTAATCGTCTTATACTCGACGAACTATCATCGATTCTGTCTTTATTAACTATCGACCTAATAATACGGGTTTATACCTATTATTTGCCGTTCGGTTAGCTTATACTAACCTTTTCTAGGTTAATAACCTTTAGGTCGATAAGGCCTATTCCCTTATAGGTATAGTTACGCCCCTTAGAGACTATAGCCTTATCACCTTTACCACGTTACGGCGTGCTATCCGTAAGCTTCGGGGCGCGGATATCGAGGAATACCCCGATAAGCGTGCGGCTTAAACCGCTAGCCTTAACTAGCGCGGTAGAAATTCGTTCCCTCGCCTATAGGGACTAGCCGCCGCCCTCGCGAACGCTAGTAAGCCTTATTATCGCCCCCTTATATCCGCCGCCTTTACCGGCCGCCGCACCGCCGCCTATAGGCCTTAGGTTCACGTTTATTCGGATAATAAAGAGGGTATTATCGAGTAGTCGCTACCTACTTCCGCTAACGCCGCCTTTCCCGCTTTACCCGCCGCCGATACCGCCGATACCGCCGCTAGTACCGCTAGCGATACTAGCGCCGTTAGCGTTATCTCCCCTACCGCCTCGCTTATAGCCGCTAATAGCCCTAAGGCTATCGCCGAGTCGTCGCCCGTGGCCGCCCTATCTAAGGGGGAGGAGGAGGAGATGGAGGAGGAGGGTATTAAGCCTAACTCCGATAATATTAAGATAGGGGATACTAATCCTTTAGAGGAGGTTATCGTTATTAGTAGCGATAATAACTCCTTTAAGGGTTTCGATAATTAAGAGGTATAGTATCGGCGGCCGTAAGGCACTATACTAATAAGGCTAGGATTTAAATTATTTTATAGTCGTCTCTTAGCGTTATCTCCTATATATATAGCCTATATTTTCACCTTATACACTATTCCGCTATATAAGATAGTATCAATTCTCCTAATATTTTCTAATTATATACCGGCCGTTTAGCGCTAATAGTCGCCCTACTTTTTATATATATATTTCTTTTACTTCTAGTATCGCTTCACGATAGCCGGAGCGTTTCCTAAGTAGTCCTCGGGCTCTTAGGTATTATACTTTACCGGCTAGCCCGCCTATTTTACGAGGTAGAACTTCTATCTTTATTCCTCCTTATAAGCTATAACGTCCTCGACTTCCTACTCGTCTTACTCCTCTATAAGCGGTAGTAGGTTAATCGCCGAACCTTCGGCTATAAGCCCGTCTCTCTATAGTTCTAATAGCGATACCAAAAACACGTTATATATCCTTAAGTACTATAGTAGTAAGCGAACCCTATACGCTAGCTCGCCGATCCACTCTAAAACCTTTACCCGGATATACCGCGGCGCGAGTTTTAAGCCGGACTTAAATAGAAAATTAATAGTAGCGAGCCCCACGAATTCTCCTTTTTCGAAACTCCTAGGCTTATACCTCTTATTATAATACTTAGCCTAAGTCTTAACCGCCGCCTCCTAATAGGCGCGGACCCGTCGGCGGATATCCGCTAATTATTCGACGCGTTCTCTAACGCCTTATACCGTGGTATCGTCTCTAGGTTTAACGTACTCTACTATCCTCGGGTAATACCCGTAAAGTGCCTCGTATAGGGATACCCTAATAGAACTATATAGGCTATTATTATATATAAACTTAGCCTCTCGTAACTAGATCGGCTAGTACTTAGCGGCCTCCGCTCCTATTATCTTTAGGAACTTAAGTAGCGTTTAGTGCGTCCGTTTAGTCTGCCAATCCGTTTAAGGGTGGAATATAGTAGATAGTCGGCGAGTAGTCGCCCTTTCACGGCAGAACTTTTCCTAAAACCGACTTATGATAAGCTTATCCCTATCGCTTATAATTCCCTTTAGGCTCCCGAAATAATATTTAACCTCGCTATAAAGGATAGTAGCTAACTAGGGTGCTATAAGTATCTTATAGGTTAGCACGAAAAGTGCGTACTTTATTAGGCGGTTGACGATTACTAGTACGGCGTTATAGGTTTAACCGTCCCTGCCCTTCACGGGTAGGAAACCCGTGATAAAGTCTATAGCGATCTTTTAAAACGGGTATAACGGTAGTAGTAGCGACTATAATTATCCGTGCCGTTTATGCCTTAGTACCTAAGCGCCTTAATAAGCCGAGTATACAGCGACGTATTCGCGAACGTTATACGCTAGGTTAACCTAATAAAATTTCCTCGATACTAGCTTTAGTGTCTTATTCGCACCTATATACCCTGTACGGAGGTTATTATAGTGTTAGCGTAGAATCTCCTTCCGAATTATTACCTTCTCGGGGATTACTAGTCTTCCCCTATAACGTAGTATACTATTTTTATCGAGAGAGTACCCCGCTCTTTTTCTAGTCTTTTATCGAATATTCGCCGCTAAAGATATATAGTTAGCGTTAGTAGTCTATAGCCCTCTAATTAACT